CTCCACTGATGTCCAAGTCAGAGCTGGGGACTCAGAATGGAGAGAACATTGGGCCTCACAGTCCATTCACCAGCCACACTGCTGAACACTGGATTCCTTTTCGATGAGATTTTCATCATGTTCTCCTGATCGATAAAATACACAGCCTTCTTTCCTGGCTTAGGGAGAAAAATATGGGCTGCTTTGGGCTTCACTAAAATAGAAGTTCAGCCGGGATGGTGGCACACATCTGTAATCCCAGCACTGGGGAGGCTGAGGCAGGAGGATTGCACTGAGGTGCCAGCCTCAGAACCTGAGTGACTTAAGGAGACCCTGTCTAAAAGTAAAAATGAAGACAGGACTAGGGATCTAGCTCAGTGTGAAGGCCCTGGGTTTGATCCCTAATGCAAAAAAAAAACATAGTAAGATGGTGCCTTAGTCCTTTTGGACTGCTGTAACAAAATACCACAGACAAAGCAGCTTATAAATAAAACTGTATTTTTCACGGTTCTGGAGGCTGCAAGTCCCAAGTCCTGTGTGGTGAGAATCCCTTTCCTGGTTCATAAACAGCTGTCTTCTCACTGTGTCTTCACATGGTGGAAGAGGAGAGGGGCTGGTGTCTCTCAGGCCTCTTTTATGAGACTGCTAATGCCATGCACCAGGAAGGGTGCCACCCTCATGGCCTGACCACCTCCCAAAGCCCCACCTCCTAATGTCTTCACCTTGGGGGTCAGCGTTTCAATGTACAATTTGGGAGAGGGACACTGTGAGTCACTAAAAGACAGGTTTAATTTAGCTCATAGTTTCAGGAGATTCTGTCCATGGTTGGCTGGCACCAAGGCAGGAACATCATGGTGGAAGCGACTGACAGAGCAAAGCTGCTTAGCTCATGGTGCCTGGGAAGCAGAGCAGGGAAACTGTGCCAGAAAGAAACTGGCAAACCAGGTATGGTGGTGCATGCCTGCAATCCCAGCATTCTGGAGGCTGAGGCAGGAGGATTGCCACAAGTTTCAGGCCAGCCTGGAACAGATGAGCCTTAGCTTTCCTCTAAAGTAAAATGAATTCTTTTCATTAATGGGGTGAGAGTTATAAATTTAACTATTTTAAAATGTACAATTCAACAGCATTCAGTAGATGTTTCTGCTCTGCTTTTTGTCCCTGATTCTCACTATAAATCTGGCTAAAAGCAGCCAGAGCCTAAATTTTCCTCCATCAGATCAATTTCTCCACCATCCTAATCTCAGATTTCTGCAAAGTCTCAGAACATGGGCAAAATGTAGACAAATTTTTCCAGAGTGTAGTACCCAACCTCTATCTAGTCCAATTGCCAATGAAGTCTTTGTTCCAACTAAAAGCTCCTGAGCCTGGCCTTTGCTGTTCATATTCCTATCAGTATTCTGACCTTTTGAGCTCTGACCAGAATCACTCATCAGGCTCTGCTTGTACAGCATTCTAGGGCTTCTCTGGCCTGCAACTCTAAACTTTTCCAAACTCCTCCTGCAAACCAGTTTCAAAGGCATCTAAATCACAGTCAGGTACATAGCAATGACCCCATTTCTCCTGTACTAACTTGCTGTATTAGTCTGTGTTCCCATTGCTGGGACCAAATACCTGACACAACTGAAAAGAGAAAATTATTTCAGAGGGTTCAGCCCATGGTCAGCTGGCTCCAAGGAAGAAACATCATTGTGGAAGGACATGGCAGAGCAAAGCTTCTTACCTCATGGTGTCCAAGAAGCAGGGCAGGGGAACCAGGTCCACAGAGAAAGGAGCCAGGGACCATATACTGTTCCCAATGCCCTGGAAAAGGAAAAGCCACTTTGGGAGGCTGAGGCAGGAGAGCTGCAAGTTCATTTTTTGTGCTTTTGGGAGGGGTATTTTGTTTTATTTTGAGACAGGGTCTCACTATAGTTCAGGCTGGACTTGAGCTCATGGTGATCCTCCTGCCTCAGCCTCCCTAGTGCTAGGATTATGGGCAGGTGCCACCCCACCCAACTAGATCCTCTGAATTAACTTTAGAAACCTCTTCTGCAGAGCTGTGGGAGAATGGGTCATCTCCATCTCTTTCTCCATTAATTTGACAAATATTTACTGAGCACTTCCTATGTGCCATAGATTGTACCAAGGTCACAGCTGCTGGAGTAGAGCTGCAGCTCCCTCTTCCTCCTCTGGGGACCAGCAAGTTTCATCCTCCAATGAGCACTCACCCAATACTGTCCCAGAGTGACTTCCTCCTCCTACCAAACACAAGAAGGTGAGCACAGCAGACCAGAGACCTCAGATGCCACTGCCTGCCCCAAGTTGGCCTCATCAACCTGACTCAGGCCAACCTCAGCTCTTGTCTAGCTCAAAGGTCCTAGGCCTGCACCACGCAGACTTCCTCTGCCTTCCTGTGGCTCCATGCACAGGTACATCCGAGGCCATATTAGAGAAGCCATGGAATCAAACTGAGATTCCTCTTGGTTCCCAATATGGCGGCACTTCCTACCCTTTCCATGGCCCAGGGTGGAACGCCAGAGAATGTAAATCTGGGAGGCACAAAGGTGACTGGGAAAAACAAAGGGTGACCCAGAAGCACAAAGGCTGGTGTCTGGATACCTGCTTTGAGGTGGCGAGGGTGGTGTGGGCGATTGTGACACTGGTGACCATGTTTGTTTTTGTTTTTTTGAAGTTTTTACAGTTTATTAATCCTCTCGTGAAAAACCCGCAGTCACTGCAGACAGGCACTGCAAAATCTTTACTCCTTCGGCTGTTCTCCGATCTCCAGCTCGCTTTTTGCCAGCACCAACATTGGCCTTTGTGGTGCCCCTGACTTTCTTCATTCTGTTCTTGCATTCCTTCCGCTGCTTTCTTGATGTCTTTTTCTTCTCACACAGGCCATGTCTTGCAAGTCTATGTTTGGGTTCATTTTTCTTTGCATAATCCAAAGAATCATAAATCATGCTGAAGCCAGTTGTCTTGCCACGCCCGAAATGGGTTCTGAATCCAAATACAAAAGTGACATCTGGCGTAGTCTTGTTCTTTTTGGCGAGTTTTTCCCGAATTTCTGATTTGGTACTGTTGCTTTCCCGGGATGAAGGACATCAATGACCATTTGTTTCCTTTGAAGTAGTCGGTTGGTCATGAACTTCCAGGTCCGGATAGTTACCGCGTCATTCATGATGGCAACAGATCCTCAGTCAGCCAGGGGAGGAAAGAGCTGGTGACCATGTTGAGAACTGCAATCCTGGCGGTGATTATGGGCGGTTGATGAGGCCTCTTTGGGGACAGTGGCCTCTGAGGCCCCGGGTCTGTGCTAACCTTCATGCGTTTGGGGATGGGAGGCAGTGGGGATGGCAAAGATGGGCTGAGGGTGATGCTGTTGGTGACAGCAGCTGTCACCTCCACACAGGTCCAGCATCTCCTTCTCAGATCATTTTGCTACATAGAACTGCAGCTCAGTCTTATTGGCAAAAATGGATGTGTGAAAAAAAAAAAAAAAAAAGCATGGGCCAGGGATTTAGCTCAGTGGTTCTGTTGCCTGCCTCTCAAGCAAAAGGTGTCCAGTTTGATCCCCAGTACCAAAAAAAAAAACAAAACCAGGATCTGATTTGATAAGGAATTGAAAAGAGAATTTTTTCTACCCACACCCACCTCCACTCCACCTCTAGTACTGGGAATAGAACTCAGGGAGTGCTGAACTACATCCTCCACCCCTTTTTATTTCATATTGAGACAGGGTCTCACCAAGTGGGCCAGGCTGGCCTTGAACTTGGCGATCCTCCTGCCTCAGCCTCCCAAGTAGCATACAGACATACACCACCATACCTGGCCAGGAGAGAACTGAAAGAACATATTCATCTTGTGCCCTAGAGATTGTGTGAATATTAACTCATCCCAGCCTTCTTGTTCCGTATTCATAAATATTAGAAGTGGCACTGCAACAAAATGGCTTTCTAGGGTGCCAAAAACTGCAGAAACTCTACTCCTGTCCCAACTTCTCTTCACAAGACAGTTTTGTGTTATTGTGGTTTTTTTGTACCAGGGATCGAACTCTGGTCCTTGCGCTTGCGCAGCAGGCAGTGAAACCACTGAGCTAAATCCCCGGCCCCACAAGACAGTTTTGATCCTAATGCATTGTCCCACTTAATCTTCTGCTGCCCTCTCGATGACCCGAGCGTAGTCTTTCTTTTCTCATATGCATTATTAAAGCCCATGACTCCAAAAGACAATTTTACAGAGAACTAAGGAGACCTGTTTGAGTTAAACTAAAAAGGGCACCTAGACCACAGGTGGCTTAACTTCTGGGCTGGCTGAGAGGGAGGTGGCGACACCTGCTGGCCGTGAAAACACACAGCAAGTGTTACCTCCACCCTAAATCAGATTTTTTTAACTCTTCCGTCTTCTTAAGGCTTTCTTATAAAGTCTGCATGCTGAAATTGGGTTCTGGAGAACAAATGTATTTGGACTACCTTATTTGCCTTTAACACTTTCTTCCTGTGGACCTACTATTTATATTTTTACTTCTTGATGAAAGCTAATTAATCAAAGATATGGGCAAATCGGAGGTCTGTTCCCTTGTTTTTTGATTTCTGACTAAAGATTGAGTCCAGAACCTTCACACTGAGCCATCTCCCTATTCACATAGTAGTTACACTGTTTTGGGTGTTACAGAGGGAAGTTAGAGCAGACAGGAGGATGTGATCGTGTGTAAATACTATGCCATTCCACATAAGGGATTTGCACATTTGTGGATTTTGGTTTCCACGGGGGTTATGCTTGTTTTTTTTTGTTTTGTTTGGGTTGTTTTTTTTAAGACAGTGTCTCACTATGTGGTTCAGGCTGGCCTCAAACTCACTATGTAGCCCAGACTGGCCCTGAACTCACTTCAATCCTCCTGTCTCAGCCTCCCGAGTCGTCAGATTACAGGCATGCTCCACCATGCCCAGCATCCACAGGGGTTATGAGACCAATGCCCTCCAGATACCAAGGGTTGACTACTTATAATCACAGATACTTTTGAGTATTTACTATGTGCCAGGTTTTATGTGTTATCAAATCATTTTATTCTCATCCACCAAAAAAAAAACCTCTCTGCAGGTATGTACTGTTATAACCATTTTGAGGGGAATGAGACTCAAAGTACTACCTTCCTGAGTTAAGAGGGTGGATCAACTGTCTTTGGATTAACTTTTGGGAGGGCATTTGCCATGACTCAACTTCAGGCAAGAGTCATCCACAAGGTTCTAAGCGGTCCCATTCCAAACCCAGCCCACTGTGGAGAGAAATGAGGTCAGCTTTGCCTGTGACCCCCAGCTGGCATTTGGGCACCTGAACATATCCCCTCCTTGGGGCCAGGGATTTAGCTCAGCAGTTTCACTGCCTGCTGTGCAAGCACAAGGACCCAAGTTTGATCCCTGGTACCAAAATTTTTTAAAAAAAGAAAATATCCCCTCCTTCCCCTCCTCCCAGACACACAAAAAGACTACACTTCCTCACCCCACCACCCTCTGGGCTGAGGCACAGACACGTGACCATCAACTGATGAACATGTGACTACATCACATCCAGGTCAGTGCTCTAAGAGGCAGTGCCTGCTTTGCCATTTTCTGTCTTACCCGGTCCCAAAGGGACTGGCACCTCTCCAGACAGAGGCTGTCCCACTGCCCTGGGGCACACAGACAACAGGGAGCAGGGCCCTCAGCTGACCCACAATGGGGAAAGAAATCTTTGCTCCATTAGGGCCACTGATTCTGGGGTTGTTTGTTACTGCAGCATAACCCAGCCTGACCTGACTGATACAGTTCCCAAAAGAGCTGAAAATGTGAAAGTCTTAAAAGATGACTGAGTGGCAGAGAACAGGGATAGGGTCACAGATTTTCCCCTGGGCTACAAGTAGAGGAAGCAGCCTTGTCTCAAGCCTACTCACTCACCCATTTTGAGGGGAACGAGACTCAAAGTATTACCTTCCTGGGTTAGGAAGGCAGATGATGGGTCATCTGCTTAGATTTAGTTTGTAACCAGGCTGTGGTACACACTGACCTCTGGCCTTTATTTCCCATGGTCCCAGCTCATCTGGTTAGTACTGGGGGTCTTGGAGGGTAAGGACTGAGGAGCTGTAGATGCAGGAACATGCGATGCCAGGAGAGTGGGGAAAGCAGGGAGATGGAGGTGAGGAGAGGGAGCCAGAGATGGGGAGGCAGAGCAGGACGGGGGACAGCAGAGGGTTAGGGCCAAGGAGATGGGGATGGGCAACAAAAACAAGCAGATGGAAACAGGTGGAGGGCCAGAGAACCACAGAGGCCTGGGCTGGGAGAGAGAGGCAGAGAGACTCAAGGCAAAGTGCAAATCTGCTGAGAGTCAGGCAGAGTGGAGCAGGGTGGCCCTAGTCAGCCTTGGGAGTCCTTAGGGGCGGAGGAGGCAGGACCTCCGCTCAAGTCTGACTCTGCACCTCTGCTCTCTATGTCACCTCCAAAGCTTTCCTGGTCTCTGCTGGACTCCACATAGCCAGTGGAGACCTGGTGGCTGCCAGAGCCCCTGGGAATGGAGGTCATGTGGCTCCCACTCGAGGCCAGGCTGGACCCCTGTGCCCCGCCAGCACTGAAGCTGTGGTCCCCAAAGGTGTCGGGTCTGGACACCTGGCCTGTGCTGGAGCTGGGAATGCCAAAAGTGACGCGGCCGATGGAGCCAGGGCCTCGGCCTTTACTGGTCCTGTGGCTCAGGATGGACCCGGGCATCCCACTGGTCTTCCTGGAGGTGCTGGAGAACCCGGCGATCAGAGTGCCGTCCAACTTCCTCGTGGCCTCAGACAGCTCCTTCTGGTTCTGCTCCTGCGCCAGCTCCCGGAGCTTCACCTGGGGCAAGGGGACAGTTGGGGTCCCGGTGGCGGCTGTGGTCCTTGCCCAGATCCCAGGCGTCCCACTCACCGACTTCACCACGAGATGCAGCAGCTCCTCCCTGCTCAAGGGGTAGCTGTCTGTCGCCACAAAGCCAGCGGGGTCCTCTCTAAGGCAGGGAGGAAAGGTCTAGACTCTTGACCTACAAAACGCACTTCCAGAGATCCTCAGCCACCCCGCCTGGCTCTCCCCCTTCAGACACCCGGGGCCTCATCTTACCATGTAGCCCCTGGCATTCCCTGGAAGCATCCCCTTCATCTTCTACCCACCCAAGGCCACCATCGAGTCCCCCAAAACCCTCCATCTCATTTGCTCCCTGCACCCCATCCCACCCTGGGCCTCACAGATTGTCAGGGGGCTGCAGCGTGTCCATCTTCTTTGGAGGCCCCTCCTGTCTCTGGCCCAGGACCAGGAGCGCAGCATCAGCAGAGGAGGACTGATTCTGGGAGTGTTGGAGCAGGGGTCAGCTCCAGCCAGCACCCAACCTGGTCCCTAGGGCATCCACCGTCTGCCTGGTCCCACCTGCATGTCCAGGAAGGCCTGCATTGTTAGGAGCTCCACCAACCGCTTCTCGATGATGCCCAGGAAGAGACCTATGTCCCGATCCCGTGTGTGGGTCCTGACTCCAAGGAGGTCATCGATGATCCTGCTGTCACAATGGGCCTTGGTGAAGAGGAGCTGGATATCTGGGGTCAGGGAGGGACCTGTAGTCAGGGATGTGCCAGCCCATTCTACAGCAACACAATCCAGCGCTGAAGGCTGAAAGGAACTTAGCCCAGCTCAGACATCGAGATAGCACTGTACACCTAACCTCAGGGCTCAGGAGGCCAAATGCAAACCTGACCAATGTCCCCTTTCTTACATACCTCAACTAGGAACAAACTCAACCTCCACCTGACCAACGGGTGCCCTGCTCAGGATGCTGCCAACAAGACACACACACACGAGCACCAGTGAGGCACTGAGCTGCTTTTACGGTCCTAACCTCAGACCCCAGTCGCATCTGACCCCTGGTCACTGTCCTTGGCTGACTGGCCAATGTTATGACCCACACTCACACTGACCGCTGTCAGCCACTTGCATTTTATTAACTGGCTACTGCTAATGAAGTAAGCAGATGCCCGTGACTTGAACAGACACTGCACCCAACCCAGACCCAGAATGACCCCCACGATTCTGAATGCTGGGTCTTTTTATGTAGCTTCACTGCATTTCCATGTATTCTTTAAAATGTGCATCATTTCTATATTTTAACTTCCTAAGGGAAGCCTCAGTGACATTGATAATAACAATTAAAAATGACCTAAATGGCCATCCACAAAGAAATGCCTAACTCTGCAGCAGCCATGTTGTTATGGGTTCAATTGTGTCATGCAAAATTCATTGTTGGAGTCCTAGCCCCCAGTACCTCAGAATGCAACCTGATTTAAAAATACGGTCATTGGAGATGCTTTAGTTAGGACAGTATAGGGCTGGGGATTTAGCTCAGTGGTACCGCCGTCTGCCTCGCAAGCGCAAGGCCCTGAGTTCAATCCCCACTACCAAAAAAAATAAAGACACTGTGGAGTATGATTAGTGTCATTAAAAGGAGGGTGGACACGGACACAGACACAAACAGGGAAGATGATGTGAAGAGACACAGGGAGAAGCCATCAGCAAGCCAAGGAGAGACGCCTGGAACAGACCACCCTCAGCCCTGAGGAGAAACCAGCCCTACTGACAACATGGCATCAGACTTCCAGCCTCCAGACTGTCAGACAATACATTTGTTGTTTAAGCCACCCAGTGTGTGGAGAATCATTCCTTTGGGGGTTTGTTCAGTTGTTTAGTGGTACTACTGGGTACATCCCCAACCTTTTTTTTTTTTTTTGAGACAGGGTCTCACCAAGTGACTAACTTGCCCAGGCTGGGCTCAAACTTACAATCCTCCTGCCCCAGCCTCCCAGACTGCTGGGATGACAGGCGTGTGCCACCACACCTGGCTCAGTTGGTGATATTCTGATATGACAGCCCTAGCCCTCACATGCAAACTAATTTGTGACAGGTCGCAGACTTCAGTATGGATGCTAAAATCGCAACTTTGTGGTGGAAAACTCAGGAGAATGGCTTCAAAACGTCGGAGCAGGCACCTCAGAATGGGTAACACTGAAATGTCTGGGAGTAAAGAGCGCTGGGGGGGCGGGGCGGGGGGGGCCACAACTCACAGGCTCACGTGTCAGCCCGAACTCTGGGATTTCCTAATAGATCCCAACACAGACCCACACGATGAGCCAACAGTCCCACACCTGGGCCTCCCCGGACAGACGGCCATAAGACAGTTTGGATGGGTGGGTGGATGGATGGATGGACAGTCCGTGCGTGGACAAGCGGATGGATGTGAGGTGGAATACTAAGTGCACAAATCTGTCCTGGGACAGGCTCCTCCGAGGACTCCACATCTTTCCCGAGGGCGCTTACCGGCCTTGAGCCTCTCCAGCAGCTCCCGCAGGCTCTGGCACCGGGCCTCTAGCTGCTCAGCCTCGGCGCACACGACGTCCACACGCTGCTGCAGGGCAACACGCTGCTCCTCGAGCAGGCGTGGGCTCTCCGAGCGCACCCGCTCGCTGGCCAAGGCCTCCCGGATCTGCGGGGGGGGGGGGCCCGGGGCGCTGAGCGCGGGGCGGGGGCGGGGGCGGGAAGAAGGCGGCGGGGCGGACCTCACCCACCTCTTGGATCTCTTCTCTGAGGTAGTGTAGCTCTGAGTTCTGCTCGTAGATGAAGTTAAACTCGGCGAAGTTGCGCTCCTCGACTGGGCGAGACGGGAAAGGCGGGGTCCAGAGGGACAGACGGAGATGCGCAGCCAGGAAACAGGGACGAAGCGGTCACACAGCGGAGAGAGAGGTGTTGAGAAAGACGCAGCCAGAGACAATGGGAGACAGAGATGTAGGCAGGTGGAGCGACAGGGCCCAGAATTACAGCGTGATTCCGAGTGAAAGCGACCGAGAGGGCCAGCGACAGAGATGGAGAGATACAGAGAAAAGTGGAGATGCTGGGAAAGAGGGCGACAGTGCAGGGACAGGAAAACAGAGGGCGTCGGGTGGGGGAGGCGGGCAGAGAACAAATGAAAGGGCAGGTGCACGTCCGAGGGCGACAGGAACCACAGGGAAGGGGCACGGACGCCAGACAAGGCGGGGTCGAGAGACTGAGGACGGGCTGGGGACAGGAGCGGGGACAGACAGGCCTGACCCTACGCCGGCGGGGCGGCAGGGACGGTGACCCGGGCCGGTCCGCGCCTGCTGCAGGGCGCCCACTCACTCTCCAGGTACTTCTGCACCAGCAGGTCGGGGTCGCTCTCGCCCGTCAGCTGGGACAGTTTAGTCAGGGCGTCCTCATACCGCAACACCAGCCTCTCCTGGGAGGTCTTTCGGAGTCCTTCCGCCGCCTCGCGGACTGGGGGAGCAGCAGGGTCCCAGGGGTTGGCCCCGCCCACGTCCACCGGGGCCCGCCCCTTCCCTTCCGCCAGGCCCCGCCCGTTTTCACCAGCCACGCCCTTTCCCCTTTCCGCCAGGCCCCGCCCCGCACAGGCGCGGGACACCTGGAGCCTTCTGAGCCGCTCTGGGCCGGCCGTGAAAGTCAGGCGGCCCGGGCCTCACCCCGCTGCTCTTGCTTCTGCAGGATGGCGGGATCCGGCTGCCGCTCGTTGTTCTTGAGCTTGAGGAAGCGATGCAGCTGCTCCAGGTGCGACACCTGCCTCAGCAAGATCTGCGCCTCCGTCTCGCTCTGCGCCACCTCCTTCTCCGCCCGCTCCCGCAGCATGCCCATCTTGGCCTTCGCCTCCTCCCTGGGGCAGGGCAGTGGACGGGGGTCAGCCTACAGTCCTCGGAGGAGCAGTGTCAGGGAGGTGACAGGGATGGGGCAGTCAGCTTGGAGTTACAGGGGTGGGGTCCCGGGTACGGGGCACAGTCCGGTTGCAGTTGCTTGTGGTCACGACGAAAAGCAGAAAACATTCTAGGCTCCCAGAGCCGGGTCAGGATGGGGTCATGGGCAAAGTTAGGGCTGGGGTGCCAGGCCTGGTAGGGATGTACCAGCCTCAGCCACCGGTGGGCATTGCTGGGGCGCACACGGGTATCAGGGAGCCCGGGAATTATTGTGTGACCTGGAAGAGGGGGAAAGACGATGAGGTGGCCCAGGTAGAGAACACGCGGACTCCATGAGGTGAACCCAGGGATGAGGTAACCTCGACATCTCTGGGCCTCCTGATAACGGGCGGTGACGGACGTCACCACCCTTTGAGCACACACCCTTTAGGATACTGGGAAGGGCTCCAAACCTCTCACCCCTGCCCTGCTCAACTGTGAACGCTGCTTTTAAGCTTTTGATGTAGTGCCCCCAGCTGTGAATTCAGCGAGCTCCCTGCCTGCTTCAAGGGCACAGAGACACTGGCCCGGGAGACATAACAAGCCATTCTCCTCAGAGACCAGTCTAGTTCCCACCTCCACCTTTGCCAGTCCTGGGTGCCTCGACTCCGAGCCCCAGCTTCTCGCTCCACTCAGATGCTGCCCTTAAGGCCAATTTAGGCCAGGCCTCCAGGTGGGAAGCCTGGCCTGACAATGGCCAGCACAGGTCACAGTGCTGGCTGCAGCAGCCACGGTGCTTTCTGTGCCTGGGGCTCCACGCCACCTGAGGGCCAGGGAAGGGGGACCCCAACTCCCCGAGAGTCAAGCCCTACAAGGATCAAGTTTCAGCAGCAGATGCCCTCCATCTGCACCACCCTGGCTCAGTACACGGAACTGAGGCTCCCACAGGCAGAGTTTCGCCCCAGATGCTCGTTCCTGACCACACCCACAGCCGAAGCTAGGGGGCTCTACACAGGGAAACCTCAGGAGGGGACATCGAGGCCAGGGCAGGAGGAGGTCAGAACCCTATGTAAATCGAAGCCATGGGTATGGTCAGGGCCCTGAAGGGGTCAGGTGAGAAATGAAAATTAGCAGGAAAAATGAGCAAAGTACTAGCCAGGTGTGGTAGCACATGACTGTTGTCCCAGCACTCCGGAGCCTGAGGCAGGAGGATTGCCACGAATTCAAGGCCAACCTGAGCTACATAGTGGGTTCAAGCCCACCCTGGACTACATAGTGAGATCTAAGAGAGAGAGAGAGACACTAGTGGTTTCCAGGGGATTGGCTGGGGGGTGGGGGGCAGCTGCTCAGTGAGTGAATTTCCCCTTGAGGTGATGAAAATGTTTTAGATCTGGATAGATGTGATAGTTTCAAAACACTATGATTCTATTAAATGCCACTGGGCTGTACGTTTTTTAATGGAAATTTTTGTTATGTGCATTTGAAAGAAGGAGGGAGGGAGGGAGGGAGGGAGGGAGGGAGGGAGGGAAGCTATCACAGACGGTGAGGAAGGCCTGGGCTTTAACAGATGTCATGAGGAATCAGGAGCCAAGAGCAAGAAGAGGTCCTGAGGGACAGCAGACACTGGGCAGAAGATAGGAAAGCCCTGGAGCCCATGAGGACAGGGCTGCAGCTGGGAAAGGAGTGGAGCCCACTAGAGCCTGGCGGGACAGAGAAGCTGCGGCCTGCAGCGGCCTCGAGCCTCGATTCTGTGTCACACAGCTGTTCAGCTGAAACTCTGGCTGGCTGACCCTGATAAATAACCCACTTCTCATTTGCCAGATGCTTGCTGGCTCCAGACCCCTGCTGCACACAGCACAGGGCCATAATCTTGGTGCTCTCTACATCCATGTGCTAGAGGCAGAGGTGGAGCTGACAGGACCCTTGCGCTGCACACACCCAAGGAGCAGGACCATGCCCAAGGAACTGGGTAACCATTGGGGGAGAGAGAAAGGGGCACACTGATTAAAAACAAGGGCTGGGGATTTAGCTCAGTGGTTCCACCACCTGCCTCGCAGGCTAAGGACCGGAGTTCGATCCCCAGTACCAAAAAAAAAGAACCAAATTGGGTTCTAAGCTGGCTGTGATGGCACAGACCTGTAATCCCAGCCACTTGGGGCTGAGGCAGGAGATCCCAAGATAGAGGCCAGCCTGGGCAATTTAGCAAAAACCCTGTTTTGAAGATGTTTAAAATGGGCTGAGGATGTAGCTCACTGTGAACCACCTGCCTAGCATACATGAGGCCCTAGAATCAAAAAACAGTTTCCATTCTGGCAGTGTATTTTTACAAGCTTTATTACTAACACTATTAACTAAATAATCTGAGCATCTAGTTCCTGAGTCCTGAGTCTCCCCAGCCACCACTGCCTGTGGCAGGTGCACCAGGCACCCTGCACTGCAGGCCCTACCTGACAGCGTAGGCTGAGGTGGAAGAGGCAATGAGGGTGCTGACCATCTGCTGCAGGAGGTGGATCTCCTGTCGGGGAGAAGGACAAGGACACACTGCTGCTGCCACCCCACGGCTCACCCCACAGCTTTCCCTGGGCCCCGTGCTTCCCCCCAGGCCTGGACCCTCCTGACTGGCTGCCATGAGAGGTGTTTCAGATATCAGAGGAGGCAATGCCGAGCTGCAAGGCTCACAGGGTGGCTCACAAGAGCTCATGGAGGAGACACACTTACCAGGGAATGTTCCTTAGGGGCCACTCAGCCCTCTTGCTAGGCTGGGGAATTTGTATGAATTTTACCCTATACTCTGGGCTGCACAGTGCTCATCATGCCTGTAATCCCAGCACTTAGGAGGCTGAGGCAGGAGGATCAACATGAGTTCCAGGCCAGCCTGGAATACATAGTGAGTCCAAAGTCAGCCTGAACCGTATAATGAGACCCTGTCTCAAAAAATAAAAAATAGGGCCGGAGACTTAGCTCAGCAAGTGCCACTGCCTGCCTGACAACTGCAAGGTCCCGCAAGGTCCCAAGTTTGATCCCCGGTATCAAAATAAATAAAATAAAAATAAAAACAACTCCAAAAAAAAAACATAAAATAGAAACTAAGGAGACAGGTGGCCTGGCTGCAGGCAGGGGCTGTGTAGGAATGAGGTGGAAGAGTGGGGGAGGTGAGGATGTTTTTGGAATAGTTCTGGTCTGGGAGTCTTCTTCATATTTACACATTCATGAGGGAGATTAAATCAACAAAGACTGGAGAGAAAACTAAAACTGAATGCAAACAGAAGTGAATGAACCTAGCTGTATTTCAAATGATGAACATAACCACACAGAAAACCAAGCACAGGAACTGTGCCAGGGAACCGGAGTACAATTATCTGAATGTGTGCAGAGCCCCACAGCCCCAAGAGAAAACCAGGCTGCAAGCAGAGCTTGAGCCCTTCGTAGGCGGGGGGAGGCGTGGCAACTCTGAAACTCACTGAAGCTGCTGGTATTATAGACAGCCAAGCTAGGTAGAAATATTACAGGCAGTCAGACAGGGCTGGACCCTCGAGAGAGTCAGTGCAGAGACGAAAACACATTACAGGCCTGGGATGTAGCTCAGTGGCACCACACCTGCCTCTTAAGTGCAAGGTCCTGAGTTCAATCCCCATTACCAAAAACACATTACAACTGGGGCTGGAGGCACATCTGTTGGAGGCCAGGCCTTAAGATAAAGAGGACATGACCAGGCCTACATGCTTCCCCAAGGGATAAGATAGGTGGTGACACCTGGCCCAATAAAGTCCAGACAGACATCAGTCACCCCCATGGGTGACCAAGACCTCCAGATCCAGCCTTTCCTAAAAAAGTTCTTTGTTGGGGCCGGGGATTTAGCTCAGTGGTGCCACCACCTGCCTCGCAAGTGCAAGGTCCTGAGTTCGATCCCTAGTACCAAAAAAAAGTTCTTTGTTCTTCCCATGCAGACTCGCTAAGTGACCTGCTTCCCCATTGGATCAGTATTACCTAAGCGGCTATACTTGTAATCTTATTGGTTGATCATAATTTTGTCTCACATTGTAGCCACCTTGTGATTTTGTTCTATAAAACTTCCTCTGTGAAGTGGAGTTCCCAGCAACCCACTCGGGCCCCCTCCTGGCTCTCAGGAGCTAAAATCTGTCCTTCTCAATTTTTCTTACTCTTTTTTTTTTTTTTTTTTGTACCGGGGATCAAACTCGGGTCCTTGTGCTTGCACAGCAGGCGGCAAAACCGCTGAGCTAAATCCCCGGCCCCAATTTTTCTTACTCTTAAACTCGGTTGTTTCTTAGAATTCATTCTTCAATTTGGGGGAATGCAAACTCGACATATCTGACATCTAGCAGGTTGGGAGCTGTATTATTTCCCCTATGTCCTTTGAAGGTCCTATCTCTGGGAGCCGAGGTTCCAACTGCAGGCGAAGAGAGATGGGAAGATGAAGTGGGGGGTATACTGAGGAAAACCTGGCAATGCTGGATTGAATTTATTTTTCAGTTTTTTTAAAACGAGGTCTCACTATGTTGCCCAAGTTGTCCTTGAATTCATCACCCTCCTGCCTCAGCCTCCTGAGCACTGGGATTATAGGGGTGTGCCACCATGCCTGGTTAGACTGGAATTTGAGGTATCAACAGGAACTAATAATTTTAAGACACATGAGTAGATGTCCCACGCTTCCAGGGAAAGGACCTCAAAGAAGGCTGCCCCCATAGCGCTAAGACTTTAGTGCTGGTGTCTTGGCTTCCCCACACCTACTCCTACAAGAAAAAACCAGGGTTGAGACAGAACAAGCTCAGAATTACTAGTGCTTCTACGAAATGGGTCCTTAAGAACTAGGAGTTTGGGGTTTTTTTTTAAGATAAATCATCTCTCCAAGCTTCCTTGGGCTGAGAGTATAAACTGTCACACACACCCCCTGAGGCCAGCGAATGACAGAAAAGTGACATTTGTGCCCGGACACTGGCAAAGTAGCACATCCATCTGAAAGAAACATGCAGGTGCCGGCCCCAGGAGGGGAGGCTTGATTTTATTTCCACAAGGGAGGGAAGGAGTAGAAGGGCAAGTGATAAAACTGTGTAAAGGGCTGGGGATTTAGCTCAGCGGTTCCACCGCCTGCCTCGCAAGCGCAAGGTCCTGAGTTGAGTCCCCGGTACCAAAAAAAACCAAAATAAATAAAATAAATAAAAAGGCAGGAGGATGTAGCTCAGTGGTAGAGCAGCCAATACTGCAAAACAGATGAACTAACTAACTAACAAATTGGAGATGTGCCCAAAGGACACAGAGTCAGTGTGAAAGGGCACCTGGCCACCAAATGTGAGAAATCTGAACAGCAAAATGAGCAACAGCCACGTGAGTGACAACGCACAGAATAAAGCAAGAACACACAAATGCTTCCTGGTGAGACAAATACACAGCAGAAGAAGCCAGCATGGTGGTGCATGCATGTGATCCTAGTACTCAGGAGACTGAGGCAGGAATATTGCCACAAGTTCAAGGCAGCCTGGGCTGCATAGTGAGTTCAAGGCTGGCCTAAACTACCCAGTGAGATCCTGTGAAAAGAAAGAAAGAAAGAAAGAAAGAAAGAAAGAAAGAAAGAAAGAAAGAAAGAAAGAAAGAAAGAAGAAAGAAAAAGAAAAGAAAAGAAAAGACAGGGAACAGTAGAAAAATCACCCTTTGCAGCCATTGCAGTACTACGCATTCAGGTAGGAATCATTCACAGGCGCTAACAGGGCCCATGAAAGTGCACCGGGACAGGACATTTATTTGGTCTCAGAGAATCTGCCCGCAGACACGTGCTCATCACAGAGAAGGTGAACCCCGTGATCAAAGACAGCCTCGCTGGCCACAGGGTGAACGACATCAGCTGTAAGGCACGGAGACACCTGCTGGCTCGCTCCTGCGGAGCCCCTAAAGCACAGGCCCGGAATCCAACCCCGAAGACCGAAGACCGGCCACGTGCGGGGGAGTGGCACTGCACGGCCGAGGCAGGAAAATCAAATCGGCCTCAAAGGACATGAGCGGGCCGAGCAGGGAACTTGAAATATGGACTTTTTGGGATTCCGGCAACGTTCAAGTTCCTGCCATGGGTAACTACACTGTTGGTAAAAGCACACCGCATCGCCGGGGCTGGGTGATGGAGCTTAGTGGTACAGCGCTTGCCTGATAAGCAGGGGACCCTGATCAATCTCCCAGCACCAAAAATAGCGAATAGCACCTTAGGGGACCACACCCCAGGTTCCCGTGTGTCCCCAGCAGAAAGGAGGCCGCTCTGCCCATCACAGTGCCTCCTCCTGCACTTCCCATCTCCACCTGGATTCCACACTGGGCCCCAACCCAAACCAGGAAGCCGGGATGCCTTGGGGAGGAGCGGCCAGGGTCCCCTTGCCACTCACTGACCTTCTTCAGCTTGCGGTCCACACTCAGGTACCGGTTCCGCTCAATGCGCAACAGGTCCAGCTCCTCCCTCAGGGCGGAGTTGCGCATGAGCTGGACATTGAAGCGACAGGTGACCTGGGAGCAGGAACACGGAGTCTTGCAGCCCAGCCTGCCACCCTCCCCTGCTCAGCTGTGCATCGGGCACTGGCGAGACAGGGACCAGCCAGTTCCCACCTGGGGGACTCTGAGAGCAACACCTGCCCTCCAGCCCCAGGTCCTTTCTCCTGACGTGGCCCCCTCCTGCCTGGAAGCAAACCCCTCTGCTCGATTCTCCCCACCCCAAGTCCAGGCCAGGACAGAGCCTGGGCCACCTCACCCTGTCCAGCTGGTCCTCCAAGATCTTGATCCTCCGCCGGATCTTGACTTTCTGGTCCAGGGTGAATCCCGGAGCCATGGCAACCTTGCTCTGGGTGAAGATCCGGGCCTCCCACTCCTGGATCTGAAAGAAAGACGATGATGCCCTGTTGGTGCCTGGAACAGATCAAATGCTGCAGGGGGCAGAGCGGCAGTGTGGCTGACATCTGCTGTCCCTGAGGCCCCAGCAGCCCCCAAAGCCCCCAGTCTTCCCTGGTGCCCAACCCTCCACGTGGTTTGGGTGGGGCTCCCAACCCAGGCACAACCCACGGCACTGCAGGCCACGGGCCAGGCCTGGCCAGGACCTCTGCCTCCGCTCCTGGGATTTGGGGGAACCACAAGATGCAGGGTGGGGCTGGGAGGACCCTGGGTCACCGAGGCTGGCAGGCCGAAGTGCAGAGTGCCTGACAGGTGCCAGCGTGAGCCTGACGACGTTGGAGCCCACCTGTGTCTGAAGCCAGCCTCCCACCCGTCCTTCCCACTTCCGTCCTCATCCTCACTTATATGCTCTGTCTTCCCGACTGAACTGAGGGCTTAAAAAGGGCAGAGATCTAAACCGGGTGTGGTGGCATGACTGTAATCCCAGCACTCGCACTTGGGAGGCTGAGGCAGGATGGATTGCCACAAATTCAAGGCTGTGAATTTCATGAACTCACAATGCAGCCCAGGCTGGCCTCGAACTCACAGCGATCCTCCTGCCTCAGCCTCCCGAGTGCTGGATTACAGGCGCGCCCTCCCACACCGGGCTGACCTTGTATATACTTGAGGAGGACATTGACGCTGGTCGGACACCACATGAGCTACCGGCTCGGTGTAGTGCACAGGCCCGACACTAGATGGCGCTACTCTCCTTTCAGGGATGTCGCATCTTTGTAAAAATGAGTTGTCAGGGCCTACTGCGATAAAAATCAAAAGACTGCAAATGTTACCTTACCGCTGGGACAACTAAGCAAAGCACACAGAGGATGCCTCTGCATTCATTCTTACAGCCGCGTGTGAATCTACAATAGCCCCAACTAAACATTCAACTAATTTTTTTTTTTTAATTTTCCATCTTGAAAAAGCAATGACTGCACAGCATAGAAGCGACACAGGAGTCACCTGGGACAAGGGCCGATGTTCAACCAGACTCCAAGAGCAGAAATGTGGCTCAGCGCGCCGAGGCCACATTCCAGCCTGGTAATTACGGCTTTTGACTATGAAATACAGATTTGTGCCAGGCAGGGGGCACAGACCTGTAATCCCAGCACTCAGGAGGCTGAGGCAGGAGGATCAAGTGTTCAAGGTGAGCCTGCGCTACACAGCAAAACTCTATCTCAAAAAAACCCAAATAATAATAAATACAATTATTAACGGTGTGATACTTGGGGTCACTGGAAACAACCAGGGAGCCCAGTGTTACGTTTTGTGAGCCAGCTGTTAAAGCTGGTGGCATGGAGCTGACCATGGCATTAGTTTTCTATTGCTGCATAACTGTCTCAGCCAGCTTCCCCTACTATGACAAAATAACTGGGCCATGAACCTAGGAAGAGAAAAGCCTTCTTCAGCTCACAGTTCTGAAGCTTCTGGCCCAAGATCCAGTGGCCCCATTGCCATGGGCCCTGGGAGGGCACCGGGTGGCAACCGCAGGGGGTGGGTGTGTCAGAGCCTCATCATAGCCAGGAGGTGGAGCGCCCCTGTCTCCTCAGAGAACCCACTTCCTCGGTGCCCGCAAGACAGCATCTCTTCCGTCTGCATCCACTGAGATGGGTCCTAAATGTCACAACCTGATCGCCAGAGGGGCATCTGTCACCCAGGCCTCATTCTATGGGGTAGCAGCAGGTCCCAGGTTCTGCCAGATTCAAGAGGAGGGGATGCTTGGAGCTGTGGCTCATGGGGACATCTTTGTGTCTGCTCACCAGTGGGAGCATGGGCGTCATGAAAATCAGCAAATGCTGAAATTGAGGTACTTTTGACCCCTAGGAGCTGTTTCCCAGTACACTTCTGGCTGACAAGGATTTATTTCAATGGGGGCTAAAAAAGTTACTGGGAAGCCAGATATGGTCCCAGTTACTCAGGAGGCTGAGGCAGGAGGTTCACCTGAGCTCATGAGTTTGAGTCCAGCCTAGGCAATGTAGTGAGACCCCCAACTCAAAAAAACAAAAAAGGACGCAGAAATTCAGGGTTCCAGGAAAAATTAGGACCCATTCATTCAAGGAATTCTTCTCAAGATTAGGAAACATTCTCTTCCAATTTTTTTTTTTTTTTGGTACTAGGGATCGAACTCGGGACCTTGCGCTTGCAAGGCAGGCACCGGAACCACTGAGCTAAATCCCCGGCCCTTCCAATTTTTAAAAGTACCCAGATTTTGCTTTTCACATTTAGGTCCCTGATCCAAGTAGAATTTAGGTTTCTATAACGTGTGGGCAGGAATTTTTTACTTGAACAAATCTAAAGTGTACAATTTGATAAGTTTCAACATAATCCATCACCCCAGAAGTTCCCCCTTTGGCACCCGCTTTGGCAGTTCCTCTCCCTATTCTTGTCCTGCAGCCCCGCCCCTCAGCACCCGCCCACCTGTTTTCTGCCACCATAGATTAATTTACATTTTCTGGAGTTTAATAGAGTAGAACATTACCAGAATCATAGGTTGTGAACTACTCTTTGGGGGGGGGGGGTCTGGCTACTTTCACTCAGAATGACTCTAAGATTTCCCTGTGCTGTTGTATCAACAGTGCACCCCTTTTCATTGGTAAGTAATATGCCATGGTACATCTGTACCAGAATCTGTCCATCTTTCACCCACTGATGGACAAATGGGTTGGTTCAGTTTTGGATTTTACAAATAAAATTCCATTACTGTCAATGTTAATGTACAATTTCTTTTTTTTTTTCCTTTGTTTGGTTTTTGTTTCTTGAGACTGTCTCATTATGTAGCCCATGCTGGCTTTGAACTCGTAGTCATCTTCCTGTGCTGGGATTACAGGTGTGCAACACCACGCTCAGCTCATGTGTGGTTTCTTGTATGGACAAATGCTTTCTTTTCACTTGGGTAAATATCCAGGAGTGAAATCCTACTGTAGGCAGTTTGATCTTTTAGTAACTGCTGCCCTGGTTTCCCACAGAGGCTTTACCATCTTAAAGTCTCACCGGGACTTGACTAATACCCATGAGTCCCTGGGCTGGGGCCTCAGTACTGACAAAAAAAAAAAAGCAGCACTTATAACAGATTGGAAAATTTTTTTTTGGTACCGGGGATCAAACTTGGGACCTTGTGCTTGCGAGGCAGGCAGCGGAACCACTGAGCTAAATCCCCGCCCCCAGAGTGGAAATTTTTTAAATTCATCCTTAGCGCATGCAGTTTAAGAATCACTGATTCATAATTTTTATCCATAAAAACCTAAATGGAGGGCCAGAGGTTTGGCTCAATGATTCTGCCGCCTGCCTTGCAAGCTCAGGGTCCTCAGTTTGATCCCCAGTACCAAAAAAAAAACCTAACTGGAAACTAATTCTGTGTTTTCCTTATGTCTCTCTTGCTCTCTTGTTGTTGAAAGATCCTTCCTGGATAGAGCAGCTGGAGTTGACAGCTCTCCCCTGTGGTCCTCACAGTAGGCTCCGTCTTCTCATTGTCAATGTTTCTTTTGAGAAATCAGCTGTCAGTCTCGCTGCGGCTCCTTTGAAAGCGATGTCATTTTATGCTCTGCCTGCTTTACTATTCCGAAGCTTCCCTGTCCCCTGTAGGATGTGGGTTTTCATCTGCCCCGTTTAGGGCTCTGAGGCCTCCTGGAATCTGTGGGTTTGTTTTTTACTGGTGCTAGTCATTGTCCCACGAGACCTCCACTCCCGTTCTTGTCCTCCTCTCCTTCTGACACTGTCGCTATATTATATTAAACTTTCTTGCTGTGTTTCTTAGCCGTCCTTCCATATTCCCAATTTCTTCTTCCTTTTTTTTTTTTTTTGGTACCAGGGATCGAACTCACAACCTTGCCCTTGTGAGGCAGACACAGTGCCACTGAGCTAAATCTCCGGCCCCTCAATTTCTTTTCTCTCTGTCCTAGATCAAGATGGTCTCTTCAACAAATTCTTTAGTAAGCTGGACACGGTGGCACATGCCTGTAATCCCAGCACTTAGGAGGCTGAGGCAGGAGGATCACAGTGAGTTTGAGGCCAGTGTACACTACCTGCTGAGTTCAAGCCCAGCCTGAACTACTACAAAGCGAGACCCTGTCTCAAAAAGCCAAAAAAAAAAAAAAAATTTCTTTCTTCAGCTTTTATTTGGCCTATTTTCAGTCTCTTCCAGTAGCATATAAACTATGTGAATAGAGGTCCTTGTCTGTTTCATTCACTGTTGTGTGCCTGAGCTTAGAACCCTCAGAATCTGTGTTGAAGGAGTGAAAGTCATGCGTCCTCGCCCTCATGGGGACTTCCCAGTCTCAGAACTGGGGACCCTAACCCCCACCTGACCTGCAGTTTTCCATAATCACATTTCTTAGGGGAAAAGAATCCATGTTATTAAGATAATAAAATCACCCTGCTTGGGCCTGACTCCAGTAAGTATCCATGAAAGGCTAAGGAAAGTGAACTTAAGCGGCCAGCCCCCACCGAGCCACTACACTCCCAGCCCGACCACCCTGAAACCAGAATTCCACTTCCCAGGGGCAGTCAGGTGAGACCGAGGGCTGTGCTAAGACTCACAGAAAATCTCCTGGAAGAAAACAAACCAGCAAACAAAAATGGACCACATGACAGGCAGAATAACGGTCCCTGCACACATCCACATCCTAGTTTCTAGGACCTGTGGTTTACTGTTTCCGTGACTGACCAAACGGACTCTTCGGATGGGATACAGTTTAGGGTCTTGGGACGGGGAGATCTCCTGGGTCTTGGGGGTGGGACCCAGTGTCACCACGGGGGCCTAATAAGTGAAAACGGAGTACAAGGGGTGGAGAAGGCATGGGTCAGAGAGATGCAGCCATTGCTTGCTTTGAAGGCAGGGAAAGGGACCACGAACCAAGGTGAGGGGGCACTGAGGAGCTGAAAGCAACTGAAAACACACCGTCCCCTTGAGCTGCCAGAAAATGCAGGCCTCCAGCCCAAGAATTTTTTTGGTTTTTTGCTCTTTTTCTTTTAAACTCAGGAACTTGCATTTGTGAGGCAGGCATGGAACCAATGAGCTAGATCCCCATCCATGTTTGTTTGCTTTTTGAGACACGGTCTCACTATGTACCCCAGGCTGGCCTGGAACTTGAGGTGATCCTCCTGCCTCAGCTTCCCAAATACTGGGATTCCAAGTATGTGCCACCATGCCCAGCAGAACAGCAAGACTGTGTGGTCATTTGTTACAGCAGCAATGAGAAAGCGATACAGACTACCAAGGGGAGTAACTTTCAAACTCTGGTGAGCCAGCAATGTACAAGAAAACATTTGGTTTAGACTTTAGGCAGGTGGGATTTTTAAATGAAAAGTAGGTTAGAAATAGCAGAATGAATCTCACATAGGGGAAAAGTTACTTGGTGAAACTTCTGTCTGAGATCTGTTTGTGTGTATGTTTATAGCTCTATACATCCAGGTGTACGTGGACCGTATCACAAGGAGTCATGGTCGCAAAAACTTGGACACAAGCCTAGAGAAATCACATCGTTTGCAAGGTCAGAAAGCACGGTCTCGAGGCGATGGATTAGAAATCTGTCTCGATTCTGCTGTCCCCATTGTCCTTTTGCAGAGGGAGAAACGGGCCCAGAGAGGCAAAGACACACTCACAGACAGCCACACAGCCCCGAGGTGGCAGAGCCGGGATCCGCGGGCCGGCCCGGTTTTGCAGACTGAGAACGTGAGCAAACACCACCGCAGCGCCTGCCCTGCGCACCCACCTGCTGGTCCAGGACTCGGCTCTGCTCCTGCAGCTCCTCTGCCTCCGCCTGGGCCTGGACCCTGCACCTGAGCAGCTGACCCATGCTCTCCAGCCTCTCGCTGTCTCGCAACCGCTTCGCCTGGCTCTGGGCCGCGCCGATCTGCATCTGGAGCTTGGCCCGCGCCTCCTCCAGGCCCCGGATCTCCTCCCTGCCCAGGCCGGGGTGCGGGAGGGGACCAGGCTCAGCGGGGCTAAAGGCTGGACCCCCGCTGCCCCGGACGCCCCTCCCCGGGCAGGCCGGCCCCTCACAGCTGCTTCTGGATGCGCTGGTGGACCTCCTTGCTGTAGGTCTGTCTCTCCGTCTCCATCACCTTGCACTGTCGCTGCAGTCGGCTCAGCTCCCAGTCTGGGGAGGGCGGCCCAGGCAAAGACGCTACGGGCACCTGGACCTCCAGCACCCGCCTCCCTGGGACCCAGGAATTCTGAGCCCTTAGAGTTTCACAAACTGCAAAGGAACTTCGGACCCAGCCCCAACAGCCCTTCAGGACGTCTCAGTTCCCGGTTTCCTCGGGCTCCCTCCTAGCTACACCCCAGTGACCTCGGGATTCCTTCCCGCTCCGACTTTGGGCGGGGGCCTGTTCCTACCACTAGAGGGCGCCCCCTGGAAGGCCAAGGGTCCTCCCAGGCCAGGGCCCCTACCCGGCTCCCCCCTTCCCCTCCGCCCCACCCTCCCGCCTCCTGCCCCTCTCTGCTGGTCCCCTGGGCCTCAGGCGCACCCTTTCCTGCCTGAACTAGCACCAGACTCCTCCTCAGCCACCCTGCACAGTTCCCAGGGGTCTTCCAGGGACTCTGCTCCTCCCCCTGCTCACAGGCCCCAAGGCGCCCCAGCCTCAGCTCCTCAGCCTGGTGTTGGCGTTCAAGGCTCCCAGTGAACTGACCCTACTCCTCTCTCCGGTCCCGCCCACCAGCTCCCACCTGCCAAGACCTAGTGGTTCTCAACCAGGTGCAATTCTGCTGGGGAAAGGGGGGTTACTGACAACTGATGAGAAGAAGCCAAGGACAAAGCACCGGCTGGGGCGAGGATAACAAAGAATTATCCCACCTCGACTGTCAACAATACCGAGGTTGAGGAATCCTTCTTTAGCCACACACCGTTCTCTAAGCAAACACCCGTCCCTTCCTTCGCCCCACAGCAATTCCTGGGAGGAGTTCGGGCCCCAGCAAACTTCGCTGCCGGAAGTCTTCCCGGACCCCTCCGCTGCCTAGGCCTGGCCCACCCATCGCAGCGGGCCACCTCCGCCGGGCACACGTCTCTTCCCCACTAGAGGGCGCTCCTGAGAGCCCTCTCTGCCCCGATCCAGAGGCAGCGGACCAGGAACGCCGGGGCGCTGAAGACGGGAAAAGAAAGGGTGGATTGAGAAAGAACACATGAATTACCCAGGCCCTCCTGGAAGACCTCGCTGCCCTCTGAGCGGATGCTCATTGCAGAGAGTCCCAAAGGCATCATGGCCAAAGAGGGCGGGTCTCCTGTAGGCAAGGACACGGAGACTTCAAACAGAGGACAAGCGAAGGGCTGGGAGTTGCAAGAGGGCGACGCACAACCGCTCTGGCCTTTCTCTGAACCTCAGTTCCTCCAAGGGGCTGGGGGTCGACGTCCTGATCTCCCACCACCCACACGTCGGACTTGGTCCGGGCTCCGGGGCTGGCCCTCGGCATCTCCGACGCCGGGCTCCCTAGGACAGGAGAAGGGGACGCCCCAGCCGGCCGCGGAATGGGGCAGCCCTACCTGCACGAGTACCCTGACCTATCCTCGGTGCTGCAAGCTCACTGTTGTGATCTGGTTACTGGGGAGATAAGAGGCCAATGAGGCGGAGGACAGCGCCCAGGGAGGGGCTGAGGCGGCGGGGAGGCCGGGAGGCCTCAGGGGCGGGACGGGCTAAGATTGACAGGCTGTCGGGTCTGCAAGGGGCGGGGCGGGGCTTCGGGCTGCAGTGGGGAGGAGCCAGGGACCTGCAATGGGCGGGGAGGAGTTCAGGCCCTGTGAAGGGGCGGCTGCGGAGTGCGCAAAGGGCGGGGCTGCGGGGGCGGGGGAGGAGCCAGAGGCTTTACGGGGGAGAGGGGAGGAGCCAGGAAAATATTCTGAGCAGGGCGTGTAAAGGGCGGGACAAAAGGAGGGGCTCGGTACGGTAAAGGGGGGGGGTCCCTCGGGGATTGGCGAGGGGCGTGGCTCAGGTACTTAAGGCTACAGAGAGACAAGGGGAGAGGCCAGGAGTGTTTAAGGGGTGGGGAAAGGGAAGGGGCGTGGGTACTGTAAAGGGCAGGGCCTCTAGCGCTGGCGAGGGGCGGGGCTGCGGGGTTGACAGGGGGCGGAGCCAAGGGCTGGCAAGGGGCGGGGCTCCGGTAGTTAAGGGCCGGGATGGGGAGCTTCAAGGTTGGAAAAACTTGCAAGGGCTTGGTGGGAGGGCGACGAAAAGGGGGCTACTGGGGAGACTCTGGGGCTCCAGGAGACTGCAGGTGGTCGGGATGGTCTGTTTGGGGAGCACTGGGCTGTGAAAGTAGGGAGAGGCAGGAGCTGAAAGAGCCTGGAGGGAATGTCTGGAAGGCTTTAAGGCCAGGATAAGATCCTACGAGACCAGCCGGAGAAATGCGTGCCTTAGGGTAAGACCACGTTATTTTAAGAATTCAATAGCAAGAGGCGGTGCGGACACAGGGACTTGTGAGAGAGAGGAGCGCTCACCACGACCTCAGGACCTCAGGTCCTCGCAGACTCACTACGCATGCGCAGCCAACGGCTTGCAGAGAAGCCGCCAAAAGTGCTTGGCCACAACCTTCAGCGTCGGCGCCCGCCGAGGCCATGGGCGTGGTCTCCCCTGGCCACACCCTCTCACCGCAGAGCACGCCCCCGCCGCCCGCTGCTGTCCACGTGGGCCTCCCAGGCCGGCTGGCAGTGGGCGCCTCTCCCTGCAGGCTGGGTGTGCCCGCCGCCTGTGGTTTCCTGTGGGAGGAAGAGGCCGTGAACGCTCAGCTCTGCTCGCATCCTCAGAGGCCAGGGTGGGGAAGAGGCCGCCTCCGTCTTGGGTCTCCAGATTCTTCCCCTTCTACAGAGCCCTAGGATGGGGACCCCGCCCCGACGTCCCCCAGGGTACCCCAGCCCGGAGCTAATTCAACTCAGGGAACCTGAGTGCTACACTGCTGTTCCCACTCCCCCAGCTCAAGTCTCCACCTTCCTAGCGACTGTTCCTCTCCTCCCAGAGCTAAAAGGCAGCTCCCTAACTCCCAAACCCTGCACTGTTAGACACACACACACACACCGTGCCCCTAACTTTTCCTTCAGGGACTTAGTCTTTCTAACTCCCCTCAGGATCTGAGTTCAGACAGTCTCCATCCTTCTCAGGAATTTAAATCCAGGGCTATTTATTCTCTTCCCCTAGGGACCCTCATTTTGAATTCCAAACTTTAGTCCCGGGACCCAATGGATCCAAGAAGTCGCTCTTTCCCTAATTCCTAGAGATGGTGAACCAGGATCCTCCCGAATCCTCTCAGGGCCCTAATGCCTGGTATAAGTAGAATGGATGCGATCGTGCTGGCTGTGTGCTAAGACTACTCTAAGAACTGTACTTACTAACGTATTTACTATTACCTCTACTTTACAGATAAGAAACACCGGATGTTAAGAGTAGGAAGTATTTTTTGGGAGAAAGGTAGCTTCTAAGAGAGACAGGAAAGTGGGTTGCCTGCCCACTCGCTTCTCAAGGGAGCTATATAGAGCAAAGCCATGAGGTGAAGGGGGTATAAGGTGGGACGAAACTATAGCCAATTACACCGCGCCTGCCTTGCAAGTGCAAGGACCTGAGTTCGATCCCTGGTACACCCCCCCCCGCAAAAAAAAACATAGCCAATTAATAAGATTACAAGTATGGTCGCTTAAGTAATATTGATCCAATGGGGGGCTGGGGATTTAGCTCAGTGGTTTCACCGCCTGCTGCAAGCGCAAGGACCTGAGTTCGATCTCTGGTACCAAAAATATATATATATGTGTATATATATTGATCCAATGGGAAATCACAAGGTGGGTATGAGGTGGAACAGAACTATGATAAACCACTAAGATCACAAGTATAGTCGCTGAGGTAATATTGATTAAATGGGGATCAAATGGAGAAGCAAGTCATGTAGCAAGTACATGGACTGAACAAGAACTTTTCCTGGAAGGTATGGGCCAGGGATAGTTTGGTCACCACCCAAGGTGATTGATGCCTATTTAGAATACCAATCACTAGGGCTGGGATGTAGCTCAGTGGCACTATACCTGGCCTGCCTGGCAAGCACAAGGTTCTGAGCTTGATCCCCGGTACCAGGAGAAAAAATATATCAGTCACTGCTGTTCATTTCTAGGGAAAATATGCAGGTGTAGTCATTTCTCCTTGTCTTGAAGCCTGACATTTAATGAATATACCTCCAGCCACAGTTGCAATATGTTCTTCTGTACTAACTCTCTGAGGACCGGGGATTTAGCTCAGCGGTTCCGCCACCTGCCTCGTAAGTGAAAGGTCCCCAGTTTGATCCCCGGTACCAAAAAAAGAGAAAATGTGTACTAACTCTGTGGAGGGTCCACCCCTGTCTGGCTGCCTATAATATTTTAACTAACCTAGCTGTCTATAATACCAGCTTTCAGGAGGCTGAGACAGGAGGATTGTCATGAGTTCAAGGCTAGCCTGGGCTACATAGCGAGACCCTGTCTCAAAAGACCCACACACAAAAACAAAAGAAAGAAAAATACACTGAGGCATAAAGAGGTTATTAGTAATATGCCCAGAATCATACAGCCAGTGAGTAAAGGACCTTGGATTTGAATCCAGCCCCTCTGGCTCTAAGGTCTATGCTATACTTGTACTCACTCCCTCTGGAGGGTCCAAACCACCCCACCCAGCTCTGGCCTCATCTGATGCCCAGATCCCCCCCCCCATCCAGCTCCCCAGCTCTCGATTCACGTGGACCCCAACACTTGGTGCCCTACCAAGCACTCCAGGTGCACAGTTAAAACTCAGTCCCTAGTACGTGCACTGCATGCCTATGAAACCCCTCACTGCTTCCCGCTGCACTTAGCAGAGCCTCCGAGCTCCTCCCCCAGTCTTCAAGGGCACCCTTTGATTTCCCATCCCTCCCTCCTTTGGCTGCCTGTCCTCCAGCCACACTGGCCCTTCTGTCTGCTCCCCAAACAACTGGAGCTTGTTCTCCAGAACCTTCCCACTTCCTGTTCTCCTGGCATCAAAGGATTCCCATCTTCAAGTCTCAGCTTCCAGATCACCTCCTTCAAGAGGCCTCCCCTGATTCCCTGTGCTCCCACCCCCTCTTATCTCTATTGCTCTGCTTCCTCTAAAACACTCAGCACTCTCTGAAGGTTGTGTTCCTCAGGGACCGTTTCTTTTATTGTCCATCTCTCCTGCTAGAAGACAGGCCTCAGAACTGCTGAGCTCCCAGGTGCTTTCTTCATGATTAGTTGCTGCTTCATAGTACGTGCTCGGTAAGTGTTCCAAGGAAGACAGGAATGGCTTGGGTGTGTCAGCATGCCAATATTACCTTCTTCATCCAGAATATCCATCACAATCACTGTTACCAGCATTAGCATATTGTCAGTGGTACCATACCCAAAACACAGATGAGGAAACCGAGGCTCCGGGAGGTGAAATAACAGCCCCAGTCACCCAGCCTGGAAATGATGGCCTTGGGAGTCTTGACTTCCACCTCGGGGCCCCTTTCAGAGTTTCGCATCTTTCTCCCATCCTGGAACCTGGCCTCCTCCGAAGGCTCAGGCCCTGGCCCTCTCACTACCCAGCCCCAAACTTCCCGGCCTGGCCCGAAAGCAGAGGTCCCATCCCAGGGCGAGCCCCAGGCCGCCGCCCTCAGATCGAGGAGCGCACCCCCGCCCCCAGGCCTGCCCCACCCCGGCTCGGAGAAGCCCGGCAGTTGCCGTCTAGGGGCGCTGGGAGGGGGGCAGAGAAGGAGGAACCCGAGAGGGCCCTCCCACCGCTGCTGCGGGCCCGGCGGGGTGCGGTGGGGGTGGTATAAAAGGGTCGGTATAGATAGAGGAGCCCAGAAAGAGACCGAGCCCGAGAAGGAGGCCGAGAAAGTGAGGGACTGCGAGAGGCAGCGAGAGGCAGCGGCGCTAAAGGGCTGGGGGGTGCCGCCGAGGGGGAAGGAGAGGGAGAAGGGCGGGGCGCAGAGGCCCAGCGAGGGACCAGGCTCCGACCCTGACTTTTTAGGCGGCTCTCGGTAAGTTTCCAGTCCGTTATTCGGACTGGGATTTCTTTATTGACTCGGGGGTGCAGCAGTCCGGGACAGACCCCTCCAGGTGGGGAAAGCTTCCCACTTCCGACCCCCATGGAAACCCTTGTAATTTAAGAAGTGGTGTCTTAGCACTTGGGGTGGGGATCCAGGACGGGGTGGTTCTGGCATGAGTTGGGGGGGGGGGCAGCAGAGCCCCCAACGGGAAAACTCCCCAGGACTCCATTGTCCTGAGGGCCCTGAGATCGGGAGGGGCCTGAGGACCCCTCCATTCTGGGGGCCCCCAGGTCCCTCCGTGGGGTCGCCGAAGGCTGGGGAGGTCGGCCCCCTAGTCTCCGCCCCCACTCCCCCAGCAGAGATCCGTCCCTGTCTCCAGGTGTCCACCACAGCTGGCAGCGGGCGGGGTGGGCACCTCGTGGACATGGCCAGAGGCTGGGGTTTCCCTGGTGCTTGGAGCCAGAGGGGGTGAATGAGTCACGGGTGACTCACCCGGGGCCCCCTCCTCCCCCCACCCAGGAAGGGAGTGGTGTGAGTCAAGGATGCCTGTTGCTAGGCACGACCACTAACTCCTGATACATTGGAGAGGGGCAGGTTCAATTTAAAATTTCATATATTGGCCTGCATGCCCCCAGGGACAGATTCTAGGACACAGGGCTACACTGCTAGTCCTACTCCTCCCAGCACCCAAGAGCCAGGCTCTGACAGTCTCCGTCCTTCCTCGGAGGAACCCAGGAGTCTGGGACTCAACCTCCTCCTCCCCTAAGGGACACAGAGTTGTCCCAGCCGCTCCTCTCTCAGAGCCGGCGTCAGGCCCAGCCTCCTCCCTCGGACCCGCCCGGACCGGGGTCCAAGACCCTCCTCTTCCTCAGGCCAGGGGCCCTTGGCTCCCCCGCCTCCCTCCCAGCCTCTCGATCCTCCGCCTGCTGACTGCCCCGCCCCTAGGCTCCCATCTCAGCCATGTCGCTCCTCCTGCTGGTGGTCTCTGCCCTTCACATCCTCATCCTCATCCTGCTTTTCGTGGCCACTCTGGATAAGGTAAGCCTTCTTGGGGGCGGGGCTCTCGCTCCGGCCACGCCCTTCTAAAAAACCCCACTCTAGCCCCGCCCTCTTTCCTGGCCTCAACCCTGCACCTCTCCACCTCTACCCTTCCTTCCCACACCCTCTCCTCCCCCTGACCCACCTCCTTTCCTCCTGCAACCCTGCCCACCCTCCGCCCTCGCCCTGCTCCTCCCCCTTCCCGGACCCCGCCCACCTCCCCTTCCTAACCCTACCTGGCCTCCTCATCCACCCCAGTCCTGGTGGACCCTCCCGGGGAAGGAGTCCCTGAACCTCTGGTACGACTGCACGTGGAACAACGACACCAAAACGTGGGCCTGCAGTAACGTCAGCGACAACGGTGAGGGCCCAGGGCAAGGACAGGGCTGCAGAATGGTTGGGGCCCCCAAGTCTCCTCCTGGCCCTAACTTTTCAATGCGCAGGCTGAGCGGTTGGGGTGGCGGCCCCCACCGATTTGGTTGGTAGTGGGCAGCTGCTCCTGTAACAAAGAGGATGGGCCCAGGGATTTAGCTCAGTGGCACCACACCTGCTTTGCAAGTACAAGGTCCTGAGTTCAATCCCCAGTACCAAAATAAATAAATAAATAAAAATAAAGAGGATGGGCCAACAGCACGGCCCAGCACCATCCCCTTAGGCCTCAGAAAGGCTGCAGGGCTGATGGCTTTGTTTGGGCTACAGGTTTAAGGAATGAGGAGAGAGACTGGAAAATTTTGAGAAGGCTCTATTTCCAAAGGTCTAAGCAGAGGAGCTATTGTTCTGAATGGTGCATGGGAGGGGGCAAGGGTGGAACCACATTAGGATTCCAAATTCTAAGGGGACAAGGACTTGCACCCCCTGCAGTTTCAAGGGAAAGAAGGTGGAGCTGAGATAGAAGAGCACTTGCCTAGCATGGCCCAGCTCTGAGTTCCATCCCCAGTACTCCAAAAAATAAAATGTGAAAGATGAAGTGCTTTTCCCCCAAGATCAAAGCAAGCAGTTTGCTCTCTTTTCTTTTTAACCTTGTAGTACTGGCATTAGCCAAAACAAAAGAAAGAAATGGAAGGAACTAGTCAAAAGTTGCTCTGTTCTTAGGAGACATTTTTGTTTATATAGAAAACCCTTAAAATTCTGCAAAGCAGCCACCAGAGCTGATCCAGGAATTTAGCAAGTTCAGCTCAAGGTCACAGAAGTGAACTCCTAGGTGTCTAAGCTGCGTGGCTCTGAAGGGGCCAGGGGTACAGCGAAGGGGTAAAAGACGAGCAAACAGGGAGCTGAGTCCAGGCCTCCTGTGACCTCACCTCCGTGTCCCCCTGCTGCAGGTTGGCTGAAGGCTGTGCAGGTACTCATGGTGCTGTCCCTCATCCTGTGCTGCCTGTCCTTCATCTTGTTCATGTTCCAGCTGTACACCATGCGTCGAGGGGGGCTCTTCTACGCCACCGGCCTCTGCCAGCTCTGCACCAGTAAGCATCACCCCCCACACTCCAGGAACTGGGGGGACCTGGAGGCGAGGGGGTGGGGGACAGTGCTGGGGCCGGGAGAACAGATCTCTGCAGAAAGAAAACCTTTTCCAGCATCTCAAGAACCACCTGAGGTGTCTCCCAGGATGCCCCCTCTGCCCCAGGGACTGGTGGGAGTTGTAGCTTTTGGTGACTCCGGGCACAGTTTTGACATGTTTCTGAGTCATGGGGGAACTCAGGGCTCCCAAGGAGCCCAAGCTGGGGAAAGGAGTTTGGGTAATTTGGGTCCCAGGAATGGGGGTGACTAATGAGTACCCCGGAAGGGATATCTGAATCATAGTAGTAATGTTATTATGTCATCCAACCACTATTTCTTTTTTGTTGTTGTTTTGTTCTTTGTTTTTGGAGACAGGGTCATGCTATGTAGTTCAGGCTGCCCTTGAACTCACTGTGTAGCCCAACCTGGCCTCAAATTCACAACAATCCTCCCTCTTCAGCCTCTCAATTGCTGGGATCACAGGCATGTGTCATCATGCTTGGCTTATCAAACCACTATTTCTTACAGAGCCACCATGTATGAGACACTTTGGAGAGATTTTACTTTTTAATTTTTTTACTTCAAGCAGCCAAGTGTTCAGTTAATCATAGTCCTTGGGTTGGGGAACATTATACTACTGTATTCTTGTAAAGCCCCTCTCCTGTTTCATTAATTCACTATTGTATTTCTGGCTTGTGAAAAAAAAAAAACCTCATCTGGGCACGGTGCTGCACACCAGAAATCCCAGCACTCAGGAAGCTGAGACAGGAGGATCACCACAAGTTGGAGGCCACCCCGGGCTAAATAGCAGGTTGAAAGCCTGTTTGAACTACCTAATGAGATCCTGTCTCAAAAACACTACAAACCAACAAATAAATAAACAATACCCCAGCACTCTGAGAGGCTGAGGCAGGAGGATCATAAATTTAAACCCAGCTGGGTAATTTAACAAGTTAGCAAGACTCAAAATTACAAAATAAAGACTGGGGATGTAGCTCAGTGCAGAGGCCCTGGGTTCAAACCTCAGTGCCAGAAACAAAAAATTCCATGGGTGGTTGGGGGAGTGGGTAGGTGGATAGCGCGGTGCCATGTTACGCTTGAGCAAATGAGACCCAGAGAGATTAAATTCCCCAAGGCCACTCTGCAGTAGCTCGATGGCTTTCTCAGGGTTGAGAGCCACACTCCGCAGGCCCCACACAGCCCCTCGCGGGTGGGTGGGACAGGCAGCCCCCCTGCCGGCCCCGCGTGACACCAGCCCCGTGTTCCCGCAGGCGTGGCTGTGTTCTCGGGGGCCCTGATCTATGCCATCCACGCCAAGGAGATCGTGGTGAAGCACCCGCGCGGGGGCAGCTTCGGGTACTGCTTTGCGCTGGCCTGGGTGGCCTTCCCCCTGGCGCTGGTCAGCGGCATCGTCTACATCCACCTGCGGAAGCGAGAGTGAGCGCCCCGCCCTGCCCGCTGCCCAGGCCCACAGCCAGAAAATAAAACCGTTTGACCGCGGCCTCCCTCCTTCCTGACTCCTCGGGGGACGCAAGCAGCACAGGCCTAATCTCTCCAGAACCCAACCTGGGAGAGCCCCACCAGCTACCCTGCCATGGGAATGCCCATCTCCGGGGACCCCGGAGCGGAACCCTGGCCATCCTGTGATCCTAGCACATGGGAGGCTGAGGCAGGAGGATTGCCTCGAGTTCCAGGCCAGCCTGGGCTGCATAGCAAGACCCTGACTCGGGGTGGGGATCAGCAGTCTACTGTCCAGCCCTCTCTCTCTCTGCTGAAGGTTCTGTTCCTCAGCCCCACACTCTCTGGGCCCAAGCACGCTGTGTATGTTCTTAAATTGTCGATCTCTCTGGCCTTCTCTGTGACCCTCCCTATGGAGTGTTTTTCTTTGTCCACCTTGGAAAACATTCTCTCTTCCTCTCTAGAGCCCAATCCTTCCCCTTTTTCTTTTTCTCTGTCTCCTCAAAGGCTGCCTCTGGCTGTTATGACACTTCAGTAAAAATCAGAAGGCACGGCCCTCCTCCTGGCTGACCTCTCACACTGAGGCTTGGTCAGAAGCCTGGAACTTCACAACCACTCACCCCGAGGCTGTGAGCTCTTGTTCAGTGAACAATCGGCACTAGGCACATGGCCACCCTACCAACCCTGCTTGTGAGACCCAGAATCAGGTCGTCAGGAATGAGGTCCTTGTAACATCCTCTTCTGTGACCCACAGTCCGTGTTTCAGCAACCACAAACCCAGCCCTCTAACACCGCAGCTTTCTCTGCCTGGAACGCCCCACAAGCAGAGTTCCTTTGCAGGATTCCGATCCCCCTCCCATTCCTTCAGTCACCCTGCACATCCGCATTTATTAAACAGGATTTATTTCTTTGGGAGAGAGGACTGGGAAGAAATTGACAGACCAATAAATACCGCGCGGGGGAGGGGAGGCTCCAGACCGAGGTAGTTTCTGAAGAAAAGGCAGCAAGGCACCTGAGGTTGTTTGTTGGGAGCCTGAGCCGCAGTGAGTCGGGGTAAGGGTGGGCGCTGCTTCCCCCAGGCCCACAGCTTCCGGGCTGGCCCAAGGTTCCAACGCCTTCAGCTCCGACACCCTGGTCAGCAGTTGACCAAACGGCCCGTACACGGCAGCAGCGATGAAGACAAGACCAGGCTCCGCTGGAAACGGGTGGCTGCCGGGGGCCCACGGGGCTCAGCGGCTGTTCCGGGCCAGGGGGCGGGGCCACGCGGCGCTCATTGGCCGAGCCGGGCCCCACCCAGGGCTCAAGATGGGCAGCCCCCGACACCCCGGGCTAGAAAGGCAAGAGATGTGCACACCTCGGCCTGGTAGTTTACAGAGCCGGAGCTGAACAGCTGAGACCGGCGGACACCCTCACGTCGGGCAAACCAGTTCCATGTTTACGGCGAGGGTGGACCAAGAAATGTAACAGCAGCCGAGCGGAGCTGCTTCCATTGGCTGTTCCACCAAAAGGGGGGATGCCTAGCAACTGCCAGCAGCCCGGACTGGCTGCTTTAAGTATACAGCGTGGCCAAAATAATTACCTGTCAGTAACTGACAGTTGGAGAGGGACAAAGCGAAGTAGCCGTGATTGACAGCCCTTCGTGGAGGGGGCGGAGCTTGGCCCCTGGCCATGTGGCAGGTAGGCCCCGCAGCTCAGAGGCAGTCAGGGGTCGCTACCCCTGGGGGCGGCCTGGGGGACCTCAGCAGTCCCTGGGGCCAACGGGTCCAGGTGGGGGAAACCCGGGGGAGGGTAGAGCCCGATGGTGGGTGTCAGGGCTTGCAGGTGAGCCAGGGCCCGGGATCCGTTGAAGGCCACGTCACAGCCGGACTGGGCCAGGAGCCAGCTCTCCACTTCCGACTGCAGCCACCGGGAGGTCTCTGCGGGGAAGAGGCAGGTGTGAGGCCGGCCTGGGACGGGGCACAGGCAGGCTGCGGAGATGGACACCCAGTTCAGCGCCGGAACGCTTGTGTTCGGGGAACTCTGGGGGCTCCGGTCGGGAAGGGGACCACCTCGGGCTCACAGGGAGGGTCGAGGTCTCTTGTGGGGAAACTATGAGCCCACGAAGAACAGGAATGCGAGGAGGGGCCAGTGATCCCCGACCTGCAGAGAGGGAGGGCTCCCGAGGGGCGTGGCGGGCAAGTGGCCTGGCTGGTTGATCTTGGGCGGGGCAACCTATAGACTGGGCGTGGCCTCGGTGGCGGGGCGGGGCGCACACCTTCTGGCGGGCAGTGCATGCCCCCCGGCCGCCGGGCCAGGAAGCTGTGCGCCAACAGCGCCTCCTTGGCGTGCTCGTCCTGCGCGCGCAGGGCCAGCGCGCTGAGCAGCTCCGAGTTGTTGGACGTGCTGCGGAAGTACAGCATGTGCGCCAGCTCCAGCTCCTGCACGCTGCGCCGCTGCCCGAACATCTGCGGGAACAGCCCGCGGGGGGCGGGGGCGAGAGTCTGACCCGCCCCCACTCGCCGAGGCCTCCGGTTGGGGTCCAGGGCTGGGGTAGGAACTATGGTTTTCACACCCGCTCTCTTGCCCGGAGCTCCTGGCCACCATCCCCCACCCCACCCCACCCCACCCCCCTCCCAGGTGGGAAGATTACTAGGATTTTTGTTTTGGTTTTGCAATATTGGGGACTGAACTCAGGACCTGGCGCATGCTAGGCATGTTCTCAACCACTGAGCTGCACCCTAGCCCATTTTGTTTTATTTTGAAACAAAGTCTCGCTAAGTGGTTGAATTCCCCAGGCTGGGTTGAAACTTGGAACCCTCCTGCCTCGGCCTCCCAGGAACCTGGGATGACAGGTGAGCGCCACCACGCCCAGCTGGAAGATTAGTTTTTACCAAACGCTGTGCTGGTTTGTTCTTCTGGGCTATATTTAAATGGGTTTTCTCAACAGCTTTCAAACAATGAGTTTTAGCCTTGGAAGTGTGTGTTTCAATAAGAATCCCCCATCTTTGACAGACATACTTCCTTATATCCATATTCATGTCCAGATTTATTCAAAGGACCTGGTGAGGGCTGGGGATTTAGCTCAGTGGTTCTGGCGCCTGCCTCCCAAGCACAAGGTCCCGAGTTCGATCCCCGGTACCAAAAAACAAAACAAAGGACCTGGTGAAGGGGGAGCTGGGTTCAGAAGAAATCTGATCGACTAACTGTGGAAGCCAGGTGCCCGCTACAGGACAGTTCATCACACTCCTCTTTCTGCATTTGCTTGAACTTTTGCATATTTAAAAAGTTTAAAATATTAAATTTTAATATTAAATTGTAGTATTAAACTGTAAAGAGAACCAAGGGAAGAATGTTGGGGTAAGGGAAGCCTGGGGCCTGGGTGTTATCAGGGACCCATCCTCCACCTGCACCCCCAGTAGGCGACTCAAGAGCCCACCCATGCCCTCTGGGTCCTGCAGGCAGCAATGAGGTACCCACCAGCTGGCAGCCGTGAGCGAAGACCAAGTCCTGGGCAGTGAGACTGATGCCCAGGAGGGTTGAGCAGGTCAGCACAGGGTTGGCAGGGGGAGAAAGCCTGGCCCATCAGGAGCATGTGAACATCAGCAACAGGACAGCCCCCCAAGCCGGGCATGGCCCCTCTTCCAGCGAGGCCAGAAGTGACCCCACAAATCGCTGAGACACCAAACAATACCGGAGACAGGGACTCGCCATCTCCCTGCAAGCCCAGCACCCCGGCCTCTGTCCCCGCATTGGAACCAATCATCATTTCCACAGGGAGTGAGGGATCCAGGGGGACAGCATCAGGGCCCGTCAGGTAGGAAAAGCACATTAGCTTTTGTGTCCCTGGCTGCGAAGCTATGGAGCCAGTCTCCTGTGTGAGAGCAGTGTGTCCCGCTGCTCATGGCACACATGGGGCCAGAGGTCACCCGGAGAAAGGTCACCACCTGCTACCAGCCAGCATCTCCCCCAGCCTCCCGCCCTCTCCCTGGGACCCATATAGAGAGGCAGCCCCAGCCCCTCTGGTCCATCCCCACAGTCCCGGCCAGCCCTGCCCCTGCCCTGCCAGAGGCTGTGGGCACTGAGCCATGCCCCTCTGCACAGGCACCCTGACTGAGCCAGCTGTTCCAGACATAGGACAGATGCCTCCCCCAACAGACGGACGATGGACGCTTGTGTCCTCAGGCTCCTGGGGTCCCCACTGCAACCTCCACAATGTGCATGACCCTTTCTCCCTGCAGGGCAGGATGGGGCCCATGCAGGCAGCGTGCAGGGGAGGGGCGGGCAGCTCTGGGGGTGGGAGACCCCCTGGAGGGCAGAAGAGGGCCTGGGTGAGATGGAGCACCCACACATGGGGAACCCCAAACAGAAGGAACAGGGTGGGCCATGTGGGGGCCTCCCAGCCCTGCTCCAGGTGGCGTGGAGCCCCCACCATGCACTGCCATGGCAGAGACCGCAGGGCCAGGGAGCTCCCGAGTGGGGCACGTGTGGAGGAGGCTGCAGCCCCACCAGGGTGTGGGGAAAGCTCACAAAGCCACTCCATTCACTGGTGAATTTGCATGTGTATGTGTGTATGTGTGTACGTGTAGGGTGCTGGGGACTGAGTCTCAGGCCTTCACACTGAGCTACATCCCTAGCCCTTTTTTTATTTTTTATTTTGAGGCAGGATCTTGATAAGTGGCCAATTTGCCCCGGCTGAACTAAAGTTTACAATCCTCCTGCCTCAGCCTCCCGGCATGCTGTGATTATGGCATGCACTCCATACCCAGCTTTGCTGGGTTTTAAACAGGGCTCATCGGGCAGGGAGGCTCCAGCCCCCAGACCATTGAGGATGCAACAAGTGGGCGGCTCTCAGCTGGGCACAGCGTGCCCTCCCCAGAATGAAGGGACACTGGCCCCCAGGCCTAGTGCCACCCCTACCCTCTGTCCTCCAAGGACACCTTGGTCCCTTCTGGCTCTCTACCCCCCAGAACAAGGCCTGGGGCCATCTCTGGGCCCTGGGCCTTACCCTTTCCGCTGGGTGCTGGTCCTGAGCAGAAAGCGCCCCCTTCCCCACAGACCTCCTGCTGGCCTGGCCCCCTCACTCCCTCCCAGCCTGTGGCCTGGCCATTATCTGTGGAATTTATGACCTGTCTTCCTGAGCGCCTCCCAGACAGCTGCAAACAGCTTGAAAACCAATGAGCCAGCAAGCGACCAATCAGGCCGAGCGGCCGCCTCACACCGCTCCTCACTCCTGGGGCCAGTGCCAAGCCTGGGAGAGGCAGCAAGAGGCAGCCTCCAGCCAGAGCAGTGCTAGGGTGTCAGCACCCCTACCCCCTCCATGAATCCTGAGATGGTGAACAACCTGAGCAACTGTACACAGCGTCTCTGCACTCACATGGAGCAGAGTCAGGAAGAGAGTCTGGTAACACAAGTCCCTGGAACCCAATCCCAGTCTCCCATCCAGTTCATCTGGGCTGGAGCCCAGGAGGTGCATTTATAAAACAGCTCCCCCATTGATAATAACCCACGGCTGCGACGGAAACTGGGGGAACAAACAGTCCAATCGGTAATAATCATCATCATCTCAATAGCTAGTGCTCAGACTTCCAGGACCATGCCAGGCTCTGTTCTTGATGGTCCTGATGCAATGAAAGCCTCTAATCCCCCCAGCTCCCCTCCGAGTTAAGTCCCATGATTCCCACTGCATAGAGAGGGCTGGGAATTTAGCTCAGTGGTTCTGGCACCTGCCTTGCAAGCTCAAGGTTCTGAGTTCAAGCCCCAGTACAAAAAAAAATACCCACTGCATAGAGAGTTGAAGCAACTCAAGGTCACACAGCTCAGCTGGGCGCGGGGTGCACGCCTGTCACCCCACAGCACTGGGAGGTGAGGCAGGAGGGCTGCCCTGAGCTTGGGGGAGCGCTGGGGGCTCCACAGGCAGAGCCTGTCTCAGAAAACCAAAAGAAAAGCTCACACAGCTCCAAGGTGGAAGAGTCAGGTTCAAATCCAGCTGCTGCGATCACACACCCCTCTCTGCCCATAAAGCACCTCGAAGCAGGGGCTCCTCCAGGAGGGGCTGTGAGCCCTGGGAGCACCAGGACAGCACGCAGGCCACAGGAACTCCTCTCTCCCTCACAGGGACACACCCTCCGAGGCAGGTCTCACTGTTACTCCCATTTTCCAGGTAAGGAAACCGAGGCACATGAAGGAGGGAAGGGGGGAGGGAAGCAGTGGTAACACAGGAGGGCGGGACGTGGTGGTACAGCCAGTGATCCCAGCACTCTGGAAGGCTGAGGCAGGAGGGTCACAAGTTCAAGCCAGCATGGGCAATATAATAATTTTGTGATAACTAGTCTCAAAATAATAAATAAAAAGGGCTGGGCCGGGGATTTAGCTGAGTGGTGCCACCGCCTGCCTAGCAAGCTCAAGGTACCAAGTTCGATCCCCGGTACCAAAAAAAATAAAAATTAAATTAAAAAGAGCTGGGGATGTAGCTCAATGCAGAGGCCCTGGGTTCCATCCCAAGCACCACCAAAACAATAATAATATTTTTTTTTTTGGTACCGGGGATCGAACTCGGGTCCTTGCACTTGCACAGCAGCCGGCGAAACCACTGAGCTAAATCCCCGGCCCCAATAATATTATTATTAATAATAATCATCTAAAATAATATTAACAATAGCAGCGCCTGCGCTGGCCAGGGAGCCCGGGCGGCGGGCGGTGGTTACCTTGGAGGCCCGCAGGCCCATGAAGATGGCGAAGAGCAGCAGCAGCAGGGACGTGGCCACCTTGAGGTCGGACAGCACCACCATGCCTACGTTGACGAAGAACACCAGGCCGGACACGGCCAGCGTGAGGTTGAGAGCCGCGCGCTGCAGCGTGGGCGTGCGCACCTTGAGCTCGGGCAGCAGCTGCTCCAGGCCCTCCAGCGGGGTGTCCTTGAAGCTCTTCAGCACCAGGTGGCCCCGCTTGGTCCGAGCAGCCAGCACCACCCGCTTGAAGTACCTCCTGCCGGGGAGGAAGGGGTCAGGGGCGGGGCCACCCGGGCTCCTGGCTAAAGGCGACTTCTCGCGGGGAGTAAGCTGCGTGTCCAACAATCGGGGATCGCTGAGATGACACGACCAGGTCACTGGACGAGGCTTTACCAGAGCTGGCCCCAACCTTTCCCTTCCTCTGGGAAGAAAGGCAGCACCAGGTAACTGCCTTCCCCCTTTCTCCACTGCCCCCCAAACCCTGCACGGGCCTCCGGCCCTCTGCCCTCTAACCCGGCTCTCTCTTGCTGCAGCTGGGGAACAAGGGCCGCCTCACCTCTCTGCAGGGGGCTGCTTGGTGAAGAAGCCACGCTTGGAGCCCACGCTGGACATACGGGGCATCTGCCCCACTCGCTGGCCCAGCGCCCAGAACTGCATGTAGATGTACTGATCCAAATTTATCGTCACCTGCCAAGAGGGACGAAGGAAGCAGAGGCAGCTGAATGCAGGCTGAGGTGTGAGGGGCAGGACCCCGGCACAGATGTCCTTCCCGGAGATGATTCCCCCCACCTGATGACATGTGGTATCATCATTCTGTGTCCAGGCAGAGAAGCCACATAGGGTTATTGATGTTGTACACTGCACAAGGGCACACCACCTGAGACAGCATCGTTCACATACTAGTCACCTTTCTTACCATACGTTAGGTTTTAGATTGAAAATGTCCCTCCAAACCTCATGAATTCAGAGGGAGGGCTTTTGGAAGCTGACTGGAGAAGGGAGGCACTATATCCATCAACAGATGAACCCACTTACAAGTCCATGGCTGAAGGTGGTTAGGAGTTAGGAGGTGGGGCCTGGATGGGAAGTGGGTCGCTGGGGCTGTATTTTTGTTGCCAGCTCCTCTCTTCTTGCTCCACTTCCTGGCTGCCATGAGATGAGCACCTTCCTCTACCAGGCCCTTCTGCCATGCTCTTCCTGCCTTTGAGCCTACCATGGACTGAGCCCTCTGAAAACCATGAACCAAAATAAGCCTCTGTTCCTATAAGTTGCAGGTGTGGGGTATTTTGTCCCAGTGATGGGAGAGTGGCCGAGACACCATCACTCCTAGTTTCTAAAATCCCACTGACTTTAAAATATCCCACTTGTTGGGTGTGGTGGCGCATGCCTGTAATCCCTTTACTCGGGAGGGGAAGGCAGGAGGCTCACAAGTTCTAGCCCAGCTGGGCAACTTAGTGACTGACTTAGTGAGCATCTGCCTCAAAATTAAAAATATGAAAAGAATTGGGGATGTGGCTCCTTACGAAGGCTCTAGATTCAATCCCCAGTGCCCTCTGACAAAAAAATTACTAACATGTGGGACTTCGGGAGATTTTAGTATTTTTATTATTTTGTTAACTTTAAGAAGGGGTTTTTTTGGTTTTCTGAGACAGGGTCTCACTGTAATTCACACTGGCCTTGAATTCACTATGTAGCCCAGGCTGGCCTCAAACTCACAGTGATCCTCCTGCCTCAGCCTCCAAAGTGCTGGGACTACAGGCGTGTGGCAAGGATGAAGTTTTGTATCATTTATTACTATTATTTTCTGGCAAGTGATAATGAATTTTCTAGTCCTAAGAAGATCTATATCTGATGATACTTTTTTTTCCCTTTCTTTTCTTTTAGTTTTTCCCATACTGAGGATTGAACCCAGAGCTTTCACACTGAGCTACATGCCTAGGCCTTTTTAAAATTTTATGTATGTATGTATGTATGTATGTATGTATGTATTTATTTATTTGGTATCAGGGATCGAACTCAGGGCCTTGCACTGTCGAGGTAGGCGGCGGCACCACCAAGCTAAATCCCCAGCCCCTATTTATTTATTTTAGAGACAGGGTCCCACTAAGTTGCTGAATTGCCTAGTTCAAACTTGTAATCCTCCTGCCTCAGCCTCCTGGTTTGATGATCACTTTTTAATAAACGGCACTGAAGCGATCCATGAGAGGGGCCCCTTCTCAAATTCTCCAAGTGTGCCCGGGGCCAAGGCTGTGTGTTTAGGACACATCTCGGGGCCCCTGGGAGCCCAGCTCAGCCCAGAAGCCAGGTACCTGGACCTCATCCTGAGGGTGGTGGACCACCAGCGCGTAGGCCAGGGCGTCCTCCGACAGCGGGGAGAAGTTGGCCTGGGCCAGCAGTGGCTCCAGGGCCTGCAGCACCTCCTGCTCGTTGGACAGACGCTGGGGGTTCGTGAGTGACGGCTGGTCCAGGGTCTCCCTGTCAGGGTTGATGGGGTCATACAGAGCCTGCAGAGAGAGCCAGGCCACGCTCTAGAGGCAGCGGAAGCGGCCCAGTCCCGGCCTTCCCTGTGTTCTCCATGGGGCCTCCCAGTCCCACCCTGATCCGGTTCCACAGCCAGGGCACTGGCCCCTCCTCCTGGGCACAGGCTGCCCAGCCAGAAGGCAGATTCTGCCCCAGGACTCTGGGCTCGTCCACAGTGGGGGCAAAAGTGCCACTGCTCCCTTGGAACTCTGCTCTGCCCTGTTCTGCCAGTTTAGACACCCTCGGGCCCACTAAAGTATAACTATTGTTAAAGCTGGACATGGTGGCACATGCCTGTGATCCCCTCACTCAGGAAGCTGAGGCAGGAGCGTCACCAGGAGTTCAAGGCTGGCCTGAATCACATAGCAAGATTCTGTCTCAAACAACAAAAACAAAAAACCTTGTTTTAATTTCCACATATTAGGATGTTCTGACACTTAAACCTTTCACAGCAGGGCACAGCAGCCTGTGCCTATAATCCCAGCCATTCAGGATTCTGAGGTCGGAGGATCACCAGTTCCAGGCCAGTCTGGGCAACTTAGCAAGGCTCTGTATCAAGATAAAACTTAAAAAGGATGGCTGGAGATTTAGCTCAGTGGTTTCCCACCTGCTGCACAAGTGCAAGGACCCGAGTTCGATCCCCAGTACCAAAAAAACAAAAAAAAAGACTTAAAAAGGAATAGGTACATAGCTTACTGGCACAGTACCCCTGGGTTTAAGTCCCAGTACTGCAATAAATGAATAAACAAACAAATAAACCCTTCAGATTGTTGAGAAACTGCCTCTTCTGGGCCCAGCCAAAGTCTGTCTTGGCTAAGCAAACAAACCAATCTTTTGTTCTGTTGGCTTTTTTTTTGGTGCCGGGGATTGAACTCGGGTCCTTGCACTTTTGAGGCAGGTGGCGGAACCACTGAGCTAAATCCCTGGCCCTCTGGTGGCTTTTTGAGACAGGGTCTCATTATGTAGTCCGGGCTAGATTTGAACTCACTATGTAGCCCAGGCTGGCCTAGGACTCCCAAGGATCCTCCTGCCTCAGCCTCCTGTGTGCTGGGATTATAGACACATGCCACAACACCAAGCAACACTAGACTCTTCTGTTTAATGATCCCTTTGACATTTCCAGGTGGTGGCCCTAATGACATTTGTATCTAAACAGGCCCAACGAGGCCTCTCATTTATTCTCTCTCTTTGTCTTCCTTCTTCTCTTTCTCTCTCTCTTTCTGTCTTTCTCGATACCTGGGGCCTTCTCACAGAGCTATCCCCCAACCTCCCTTTTAAAATTTTGTTTGAGACGAGGTCTTGCTAAGTTGCCCAGGCTGGGTTCAAACTTGTGATCCTCCTGCCTCAGCCTCCCAGAGTGCTGGGATCAAGGGTGTGTGCCACCCCACTGGGCTCCTGAATCTCTGTAATCCACCTCCCTCCTCAAAGCCACCTTCATCTCTCACCTAAACAACCACCTTGGTAGGCAGGAGGATCCAGAGTTCAAGGCCAGCCTAAACTACGTAGTAAGACCCTGTCTCAGAAACAAAACACAGCCAGCTGTGGTGGCACACATCTATAATATTAGCACTTAGGAGGCTGAGGCAGGAGGATCGCCAAGAGTTCAAGGCCAGCCTGGGCTACTTAGAGAGACTCTGTCTAAAAAACAACAACAACAACAAAAAGTGGGGCCAGGGATTTAGCTCAGTGATTTTGCCACCTGCTACAAAAGCCCAAGGACCCAAGTTCGATCCCCAGTACCAAAAACAAAAACAAAAAAAGAAAACCAGAACGACCCTTTCAAGGCTCTCCTTGTTGCTCTGGGTTCCAGGACCTGACTCCTGGAAGGGGACTAACACCAAAATCTCCCTTGGTGGCTGCACATTGGCCACCCTGGATTTATTTCTCCAACCACAGGGACTTTGCACACCCACCGCTGGCAGACTCCCTCTGCTTCCTTCCCTTCGCTACTGAATCGCTGGCCTCTGACACTGCAGGCCCCATCATCACTCTCAAAGTTTCTCCACCCTGCAGGCTGAGGAGGGCTGGGCAGGGCGTGCGCTGCACAAAGGGCGCCTTTTTCCTCATCCCCATCCAGACCCCAGTGCGGAAGCCAAGCTCACTGTGTCCTACGTCACCCCAGCACCGTACCCCTGTCCCTCTGTCTGCACCCAGCAGTTCTGGGACAGCCTCAGGTCCTGGCCCTCCACATCGACGCTTCCTGCAGGTGGGTGCAGCCTGCGCTCTGTCCTGTGTCTTGCACTTGGCACTGGCCCCACTTGGCAGCTGCTGAAAGAATGAAGGATGGAACTGGGTCCTCCTGGTGACTGTCACCACCTAGCCCTATCCTCAAGCAGCCCAGGGGCCTCAGATGCCATCTGCCAGTTGAGGGCCTCCAGGCTTCTGTTTCCAGGCCTGACAGCCCAGCTTCGCCCACCTAATGCTCCCCTGAAGATGCCCAGGGCTCCCAATGCTGGCCCCAGGCCAAGTCCTGCTCCACCCCAAACCTGCTCCTCCAAGGGCTCAGGCCCAGAGCCCAGGCCCCCTCCACCGGGCCCTTCTTCACCCAATCAACCCATCCACATAGGGACATCTGGGATCCACTGAGTGTCGGGGCACACACTTGTGATCCCAGTGCTTAGGAAGCTGAGGCAGGAGGATCACCTCGAGTTCAAGGGCAGCCTGGGCTACCTGGTGAGTTCAAGACCATCCTGGACTACACAGCGCGACCTTGTCTCAAAAAACAAACCAAAAAAGACATAGATCTAGGGGCCAGGGATTTAGCTCAGTGGTTCTGCTGCCTGCCTCAAAAGCACAAGGACCTGGAGTTCCATCCCCATACAAAAACCAAAAACAAAAAACAAAAGACATAGATCCGGGATCCGACCACTCCTCGCCCTTGGCTTCAGCACGCTGACTGAGTACAGAAACCAAATCAGCTTGGTTCCCCTTTGCCCTGGCCCTCTGCACCTGTCCCTCACCCAAACTGTGGCTGACATGCACCTGCTTTGCAGGGGCCCGGCCCCTGGACTCCCTACTGGTCAGTTCACAAGCGGCCGCCAGAGGGCACCTGTTCACACTTTCGGTAAAGCTCAGAGCTCAAAGTCCTCACGGCGAGGACGCACAGGAAACTGCAGGGTGTGGCCCTGGCTCCTCCCTCTCCCCAGCCCTCTTCGCTTGGATCACTGGAGCTCCTCAGACCTCCTTGCTTTTCTTCCAAAACGGCATGCGCTCCTGCCTCAGGGCCTTTGCACCTGCTGTTCCCGCGGATGTGCGTGCAGCTGGCTTCTTCAGGGCTCTGCTTATACGAGGCCTCCTCAGCAGGCCTCTCCTGACTCGCTTAAAACTGCACAACACCCCTCCTTCACTTGCTCCCCCTAATTACGGTTGTCAAAGAAAAAGAAGAAAATATCGTGTAGAATATATATCCTATATATAGTGTAAATGCCAGGTGTGGTGGCCCATGCCTGTAGTCCCAGGATTTGGGAAACTGAGGCAGGAGGATCACGAGTTTGAGGGCAGCCTGGATGACATAGCAAAACCCTATCTCAAGGGCCAGGGATTTAGCTCAGTGGTTTCATCGCCTGCTGCGCAAGCACAAGGACCTGAGTTTGATCCTCAGTACCAAAAAAAAAAAAAAAAAAAAATAAGAGTAAATAACAGA